AAACGCTTGTATCTAAATGGTAAGAAGCTGAATGTAATCTACAAAATAAAAAAAATTATTTTACGTTACTACAATCATCATCTACAAATCAATAACACCTTTGGGGAACTGTTAGTATTTGTTCTGTTGGAAGTTCCTTCCTTCTTTGGTTCGAATTATGCTCTCATGATCCTGAATCCATGATATTTCCATCCTATAAGTTAATTTTGTGCTTCTTCGCACAACACCAAAGCAACTCCCTGAATGTGCTGAGAATTTTACTGTTCGTGACTGGAGTACAGAAGCACCCCTTCCGTACGTAACCTCTGCTGTTCAGCTTGGATCCAATGTGTTTCAGTGATTCCGAGAACCGCCGATTTGTATATCCTCATTTCCGTAGCTATCTGACTGGTCCTCTCAGTCTCTAACACTGTCAAGGCATTCCATGTACCTATAAAAATTGTTGCTCTTGTTGTCAGAAGGGACATCGGCCTCGTAACTTTCGAAGAATTTCGACTTTCATCACAAGGCATCATAAATGTTCCTTAAACTCGGAGGGTAGAGTTTAAATGATTGAATTTGTTTTATCTCGTTGGATTTTTTTTTAGCAATGTTGTTTTCTACGGGATGGGGTTGCTTACCTCAAGCCCAACATTCCTCCTTTACCCGGGCTTGCTATCGGCAGTAGCCCTAGAAAAGTTACAGGCAGAGTTAGTTCGGATGTAACAATGTAGAACATTTCGTGCAACTAAACATTTTATCATAATGAAATAAACTACTTATTACTTATAAATAGTAATATCACGGAGCAATATCTATAGAGAATATTAGTCATTGTTCGTTTAAAAAAGTGTAACTAAAACCATACACAGCTTCGGATCATGGATTTTTATGCTTGATGTCTTCCAAGTTAAACGTAAAGCACTTGTTTCTGAATTCAGTAACCCAAATTGTATTAAGTAATAAATTGAAACTAGAAAGGTTATATTTTGAACGTAAATTCACCTGCTGAAAACGTTAACGTCAAATAATATTTCCGGAAGAACTATTCTAAATTAAAATATTAAAAGATCCTTTATAGCTCGTTATATTCAGTATGGACTTATATCAAAACAAGTCAATATTCATATTATCTTAATAAGTAGATAATGTTAAATACAAATTTATCAAAATTAGAATATTGAAATTTAATTACTATCCTATCTGAGTGGATTGGCCACACCTTGAGGAAATCACCTAATTGTGTCACAAGACAAGCCCTCACATGGATTCTTGAAGGTCAAAGGAGAAGAGGAAGACCAAAGAACACATTACGCCGAGAAAGAGAGACAGACATAAGAAGAATGAACAAAAACTGGATAGAACTAGAAAAGAAGGCCCAGGACAGAGTTGGTTGGAGAATGCTGGTCAGCGGCCTATGCTCCATTCCGAGTAAAAGGCGTAAGTAAGTAAGTATTCTGAGATCAACTATCAATAATGACGAAGCATTCATTTATTTCATTTATTGCTGATAAATAAGATCCAAAATGATTAGCGATTGTGACTGTGAACAACATGACGATTGTCGATTGATTTGCTTCAATCACAGAGTTACACCTATTCACTTTATTTATAAACTATTCACAATGTTAGGATAATATCAATGGAGAAATTTAAGAATTGTTTGATTAAGGATTGACCAAATCACACATGGGAGTGGGAAAACTTAAACAGTATACATTTATAGTATTTATTAAATCTACTGATTTGTGTAAAACCATGTCTGTTAACTCTTTACTTACATAACCACGGTGAAAACTGTACAATTTATTAAACACTATATTATCCCATCTTCTATTTTATATGTAGTATATAATCTTCTATACACAAATTCACTCTGAATAATAACACATAATTATTTGAAAGTATTTTTGTTCATAGATTACGGATAGTCACTATTAATTTTAACAAGTCTTTGTTTGCATATGATGTACGTGAGAACATAACTAGATACGCTGCAAGGATCAGATAAGTGGATAGAGACTAGCAACGGTATTCAGTAATACGTTTCTACTCAGAGTCTCTTTCGAGCATATATGCTGGGATTTGGGCAGCGATTAAGAAAGAGCTCTAGTTCTGGATTCCACGGTAGTTCATTGTTTACAAAATAATAGTAACGTGTTACAGAATGGTTTCATTTAAATATATTCAGAATTATCCCATACGAATACATTAATTCCTATTGCGCATTTTGGAAATAATTCTTATTCAAAACTTTTGTGACCTTCACATTTATCTGTAACATTTCAAGGGTTATGATTTAAAAAAGTATTTCGATATATGATCACGAAGACTACTTAAAAATAATCGAAATTATGTTTTATTAAATGGTTATCTTCTACGAGGCAAGCGATTCTCTGAGGAGGTGGAAAAGATTTGTAGCTCAGGTGGGTGATTTTGACGTGGGTTTATTCTCTGAAAAATTTCAACGTAAAGAATGATGTTACATTTTCATCACTATGAGGAATTTTGACTAAACACAGTCATAATGAATTTATGTACTACGTAAAACTTAATTATTGATCTTAACGTTCTGCTAAGAATTTGTCAGTTGACTGAAATAATGTCAGTAATAACGACAATGATTAATCATTTTTCAAGATCAAAATTATGAACACCAAATGTTTACTGGTTTCAAACTTTAGACAGAACTATTATTTTTAATCATATCAATGGTGTTTCATTTAGGCAGAATCTAACTTCAGCACTTTTTCTAACAACATATCTGCATTGAGTTCTGTGGTATACCTTAGCTAAGTAGAAAATAAAATCATCGAAAATTCTTTAAAAACAAACTTCATCAATATCAGTTCAATCTACTTATCTTCTGAAAGAAAAAATAAACTGAGAAACAAAGTCTACAGTGAAATATTCAATGAAAGTTTATCTTGTTTCAAAGTTTTAATTTATTTTCAAATATATTGTTCAGTCAATTGAAGCTAGACGACCATGGAAAACCTGGAAGCACCCCCTTATTTTTAAATATTTCACTGTTATTTTCATACAATGAAAGTCAATCAATTCTTTCTCTTGTTCGATTTATCCTTTCAGTGAATATTAAACAAAATGAAATTATGAAATGAAAGCCAAAAAAGAAAAAATATAAATAGGAGAGAAATAGTTTATTATTCCATATATCTAGTGGAATACACAAGAAAAATGTTCTTTTTAAATAGTTGCCTATTGACATTTGTTCACATTTTTCTCTAACATGGTTACAAAAAAAATGTATTTTTTATCTTATCACTCAAAATATAATGAGAATAACAATCAACTTAACTGAACATCAGAGTGAAGAATAATTTTCTAATAGAATATAGAAAAAGAGAAGAACAAAAATGTCAATTTTTAGACAATAGATTGAATTGAAACTGAAAGAGGAATTAATGAATATTACAAGGATAAAAAGAAGAAAGATCAATAAACCAGACAAAACATGTCAATGTATTGAGTTTATTTTAATCAATTTACATGACGTGACACCTTAAGTTGAATAAATTAAATGTAAACAGGTAAACCATGAAAGATGGTTAGTGTTTTACGGAAATGTTTGTTTGTACATTATAAAAGTTATCTTCATAAAACATCGATATAATTTTAAGAAATAGTGAAAATTGAAGAGTGACAAAATAGTTAGCATGTTTAACTCTGATCTTTTTTGAATGTACAAAGCAGTCGAAAAAAACCGAGATATATCATTTTGAGTGCAGCACGGAGCAATTTAACTGGTCTTCGGATTCGTTACACAAATAACCAGAGTATTCTCGACAAGCGATCTGAACTAGGTGTACAGATGGACTCTACCAAGCCGTATGTAATTGCAGTCACAGAAACGTAGCTGGCACAGTCTGTAGACATTGATTTTGAAAGTTTCACGTCAGACAGAATCCAGGAGAGCAAAGAAGGAGCAGCTCTATTCATTAAAAATACTATTTCATTAACCGTTGTGGATAACAGATCCCTTGAAAGTGTGAAGTGCGAATTAGGTAGTTGTCGTTTGAAATGCTTTTGAGAATGTTCCCCACAACCTGTTGTTAAATAAGTTAAGTAATATCGGGATTGGAAGCAATTTATTGATGTGGATAAAAGAATCGCTAGTTGGGCGCTAACAAAAAGAACGGGCGAACTCAAAGTTTTCTAGCTGGGAAACTGTGCTTTGCGGAGTGCCTCAAGGTACAGTCTCCTATCATCATCAGTCTTATTATATGCTGACGATGTCAAGATATAGAGAGTGATACAAGGTAAAAATGATAGTTTGGAGCTCCAAAATGACTTGAAGAAACATTCTTTTTGATCTAAAATCTGGCAGTTACCGATAAATGATTTCAAGTAGATTATGATGCACATTGGTCACCAAGGTACAGATATATGCACGGTGAACAACAGGGAGATATCTGTTGTACAGACACACAATGCCTTAAGAGTTATCGTTAACTAAGACTTAAAAACTACCGCACACTACTGTGTAATAGCCATCAGAGGTTTTAAAATCCTGTGGTCAGTACGTAGAACCATAAGGCATGTCGATGTCGAAACGTTTATGACTGTATACAATATTCGTTCGTCCCAAACTCGGGTACTGGATTAAAGCGGCTAACCGCTGCCTAAAGAGACAGTGAGCCATCGGAAAAAGTTCAAAAAATGACGACTAAGCTGATCCCCAAAATAGCTAAGATCCTGTATGATGCTCGACCAGCTAAACTCAAACTATTTTCATTGTCAAAATGACGAACCAGAGGAGACTTGATCACAGCTTTAAAGTACTTAGTGATGAACTTTCATCCGATATGCTCTCTTTTTTTGTCTTCTAAAACAGAGAACTTACAAGTACACTCCAAAAAACGTTCAAAAGCCTAGAGTAAATTACTTTTCAGCTGTCTATAGACTTTCCTATCGAATCATCAACAAATAGAATTCATTACCTCAACAGGTGATTGAAGTTCCATCTGTCTACTCTTCCAAAAGAAGGTTGGACCATCTTAAAGGTCAGGATTGCCAGGAGTTACACAGGCTACCTTGACTACTGTCATTTTCAAACTGAAAGTGAAATTTTAATCTATGGATTGAATTTTCAAGATTCGAATATATTGTGACATATCAGGGCGGTTAAAATGTAGTCCACCATATTTACAATTTTATTTAATCTGTCAATTACGACAGATGAGGTCCTTGTGTTTAATCGTATTAAGTGTCAAATATGAACATTACTACACAGTTTTGATGCCAAATATCTGTCGATTTATTTCTAGTTCTTAGTAAACTCCCAGCTGACAACAAAAACTCAAATCATTTTGTCTTTAAGTTGTTAAATTAACATAAAACGAGCACTTTGTTGATTTATATAAATCAGTCACCTCTAAAATTTATTCACAATGTAATCACTACCTTATCTTTTACTTTCAATAGATACACCACAAGTAAAAATATCACAAAAAGAATATTTTTGTATATTGAAGAATACTTAAGTTTCATTGGTTAAGTAGGATTCATAAAGCATTCAAGTTTATATTCAACGAGTTAACAAATAAGAAGATCAAGGACTAGCTGAATATTTAAAATTTGGAAACAAAAATGATCTATACAGATTTAAACAAAATCATATGAAATGATTCAATAGATTAGACAGGTATTTCTTTTAAAGAAAACTTTAATAGAAAGATTGTTTATTATTTACTAAACTATAATGAATACATGTGTAACGTTTAGGGAGAAAAAGGTAAAATGTGAAAGAAAAGAAGGATATTTATTGCAATATTAATGTATCACCATAAATCTCGTCGATTTGATCCATGAAAATATCCTAATGTCTCGAGTCTTTGTTGTACACGTCTGTGTAATCGAATAGCCTGAAATCATTATTAGAATAAAATTAAAAAAATAAATCAATTACAGATATTGATGATAAACATTTAATTATGTTGTAATTCCAGTTATTGTCAACATGTATACAGCTTAGAGTTGGTACATAGTAAAACTTAATAAAGTACACCTCTATATGTAATCCTCAATTTTAAAATATCTTGCATGTAATTTTTAAGATGAACTGGTAAACATGTACTAAATTAACATTTCTCCAAAATACTATACAGCTCAGTGTACCAGACTACAATATGCATGTCAAATTGACCGAATTACAACTAATAAATAAAGCTTCTTAACGAGGATATTAATAATGCAAATACTGTGGTGTGGGTTACTTGTATCCATATAAGTAGTATATGGTGATGGTCAGGCATAGAATGTGCTTTTGCAGAAGATCGATAAGCAAAAAAACAGAAACGAAGCGCAATCGGTATGAAAATGGATGAACAATGGAATCAGAGAAGATGGACTGAGATTTACAGAAGGAATGGTCAAGGTTGAGACAATTGATTGTTATTTTGCAAATTAACTTTTCACTATTTTGTTATCAGATTTTAGTAAGATAGTTTGTAATTTGTGCTTAAATGCATGCGATTGTTCCCATTCGTGTTCTTGTTCATTACAATGCTTTATAACGAGACTACAGGTTATTGACTTAATTAGTCAGTGATAAATTTTACCAAAATGCGCCTCGGAATTTCACCATCATTAGACACACTAAAATTAGTTGTCATATATGATTAAATAGATACACATCATGTAATTTTTATACTTCTCTGAAGAAGAATGGCTTACAGTGAGTCACGTAACGACAGAAAGATTACAAATTAAATTTTTCTACCCATTGTAATATTATAAATCTATGGTTTTTATTAATAGTAATCTATTTGAAATGATCAAGTCAAGCCTTGGTAATAACATCTAAGCTGAAAAATGTCCATCAATTTCATAAAGATCATAATCTTTAGGCATAAATTTACGGCTTTTTAGAAAAAAACTGAATGCGTCTTATTCAAGTATTAATTATAGATCGCATATTGTTATATCTAGAGCTTTGATTCTTGATATGCCGCGTACAATTAGATTACTCGAACGATCGAACCAGCGACGTCACAAGAGAGAAGACAGAAGACTAGTAAGTAGGAATGTATTTCCCAACACAGTGACAATTATGGTAAAAAAACGTTCAGGTATTTATAGTTTTTTGTAAAAACGAAATCATCATTTCAGTTATCTAATCCGCACACAGGGGGTTACTAACATTGTCCAATAGGAGTGCTACACGTAGTGATTCTGGAATATTCTTCCAAAATCTGATTGACTGGAATATGTTCGGCTCCTTCAAAGCATCTCAGAGCTTCCTCAACTTTACCTGTGAACCGTCCTCACACATATAAAGCTACTTCATTATGAAAACAGTTTATAATAATAATTTCATCACTATGACTCTCGTTTCCTTTATGTTTATATATTTTTATGTTTGAATTTTGCCATTTTTCATCTTTGAATTATATCAAATCTAGTTTTTGTTTCAATGTATAACATTCTAAATATTTTAATGCGAATTCATGAATTGTACTTATTTTATAATGACTATTATCTTATTATATCATTGCAGTATTTTTCTTCTCATTTATCAATTATGATGTGTGTGAAACATTTCAACTCATTTGCCATTATGGATAAATTTTAGATCCAATCATCAGTCTAATATGTCAAGAGTGATACTAGTTTAATTGAAAGTTTTTGTATTTTGTCAAATAAGTAATGCATTATTGATAACTTTTAACTCTTTACAGTAATGTTCACAAATTCAAGTTTTTTGGGGGAATATTGGATATATATTTTGTGATACTTTTGGTTGTAAGCTTAATTAAATAAACATTGGAACAATAAATACTTTGGAAATGAGTAAATTTGTTATTAGATTTTTGGTAGGTACCCTTTATCTACTTTTTATAGACTCATGGTAGAGTAGTCGATAGTACAGTAAAATATTATTTAGATTACATAGAGTTAGCCTAAAAGTGTAAGAAACTGCTAAATTAAATAATCTGATAACGAACTCGACATGTTGAGGGGTCAGTATGGCACTATACTTTAACCACTATTCCTTTGAAACAATATTTCACAGGATCAATAAACAAAGGAATGAATCTACATTATCGGCAACAATAGCCTAGATGAATCAACTCTTTTATTACTTTTAGATTTCAAGCTTGAAAGTTATCTTATATTTGATATCCATCGAATTTATGATTTCTTTTTAAATTATATTGTCAACGCTTAGATATTGCAGGTACTACCAGTACTAAAACTGTAACTCTTAATCTAACATTTATTGTGATAAATTCATCTAGTCGTGCTAATACAGTGTAGGAACTTAAACAGTAATGTATGACTGTCAGGCTCTACGTTGCTGCTGACTGATTGAATTCAAGTTTCACAATAAATTGGAAGAAACGGTAAACGATATTCAGTTGACGTGAATTTATAGTCAGTTTTGTATGAAAGACAAACAAATATGTATAGCAATTGAAAGCTATACGCTAAAGCCCATATATATAAAGCTTACTTCATCCATACTTTTCTTGGCAGTTAACAATTCTGATCTAATAGCATCATGAGTTGGAATAACCGGTAGTTTAAAACGTTCCAGTATTTCTTTTGTGTGTTCGTGAACTCGTTTTGTTAAACAAGCATCTCTCTCGAGACTACAAAGCAAACCAAAAAATAAATTAAACGAAATCCCTTTTTAAAGAATTTAGTGATTAAGGGTCTAAAAATCTTTTTTATTCATATAATGTATGCAAACTAATAATAAGTTAAGTGAAATACTTTCTACATAGGAATATAAAAGTGTTGGTACATCAAATTCAAAATTGTGGGCACCACTCCTTGAGAGATTCGAACCATTAGGAGTCTCAAACTACAATAGAAGAGATGTTGAATACTCTATGGCGTTTTATGTTTTCCATTTCATGCTGATCAGCAATGAAAACCGCTCTCAAAATGATCTATTTTGTGTCGATTATTTACTTATCGACCACATAAAAGCTGTTGGTTATTATCCTCACGTAAATCTTGGACAAAAAGCATATGAAAGCGCTTAATAGATTTAAACTCAAGTTTTTTTTGTTTCAGTGAAGTTCACACTACGACTAAAAAATTGTCCACTTGACGTTGCAAACAAAAAACAAATAAACGATTTGATGCTACTGTCTAATAATTTAGTAGGTAGACTATTTATGTACAAATTAACTACTGAAAATGGTATTCGTTGAAGAAATTTGCAGTCACTTTTTTTAACTCATTGAAGGAAGTACTATTTCTCTCTCCGTACAAATAAAAGATTATTCTATTCGATGTTTGAAGTCCTTACCATCGATTGCATAAATACAATGGTCTCAGTCGTTGAATATTTCTTCTGTACAACATACATAAACATTTTCTAACTGAAGTTTCATCAAGAATTATTCAGAGACATATAGAAAATCATATTTTCGCAAATATTTATTCTTCTAGACAGTCACATCTTACATTCTTACATTACGCTCATCGTAAAAAGCTTTGAAAATAAAATGGCTGTCATCCACTGTATTATGATATCAAAATGACTAAACTTTTGCAAGTTGATTATGATAACGAAAATACACATGCATTTAGAAAGAGTAAACAATTAAATTCAGTTAAACTATAAGAAAATAGAATCACCTAATCAATCATTCATATTCCTTAGCAATTTTTAATGAATTTCACAAAATATCGAAGGGCGGTTAATGGGGAACTAGATTATAAAAAATAAGAGTCTACTTACTGTCGATGTAAAAGTGAAAAATGCATTATGTGTATACTACTTAATATCGATTACTGTGTTGAATTTCTATATCATTTTATATTATGTTAAGCTGCCTTGATAATGTCAGCCTTAAAACTTACAGAACAACTTGGTTTTAATATAATATCTCTTCATTATCAGGTTAGGAACCCAAAGTAGATATGAAAAGTAAAAATATATGGTTTTCTTGAATTTTTACGTCACTGAAACTAATTGATCGTTAGTATGTGAAGTACTTTAAGAGAAACGTACTTATACACCTTGAAAACAACAGAAAATCGAATCCATTAAATAATCTATGTGGCATAAACATGTCTTAGACGATGGAAAAATTGTTGATGATGAACTTTCCATGTTTTTACTCATTGAAAAACTTATCACCAATTTCTAGTATGGCTTCCTTAGAGTTAGATCTTATATGACCTGTTATGTTAATTTCACCAATGTATTCTTTACTAAACGTAGCCTAGATCATAGAGTTAAGTTAGACAATTCACATTTTATAGGTTAAGAGATTCTCTGCTTACTTAGCCTAATTTATTTCTCCTTCACTGACATTAAACAGCTAAAATAAACTCCTCGTTGTCGGATCCCGTCGCAGTAACAATCGAGGTAATATAAGATAGTTTCCCATGTCTTTATGGCTTCTATAAACGATACCTGCAATCTTTTTTCCTTAACTAAGTCTTTTAAGTATGCAGATGGTCTCTAAATAGCATATGAACTAAACAATATACAAAACAATATAGGTCCAATAAGGTAGCCCAGTGATGCTTAAAATTAAACTCGGAAACTGACATTGCTTAATGTGAATAGATTTGTTTAGCTAATGCTTCCTTCTTCTTAGATCTCAACAAAAACAGTAAAGTGTTATCTAATTTTCGTAAAACGGGGATTTAAGATTCAAGCATTCTCACAACTTGTCCATCTCGGAATAGGTCTCCAAAACAGACTTTCAATTCTCGAAGACTTCTGGGTTGTATACTTCATAACCTCTATAATAATGATCCTCGCATTCCAATATACAAGTTGTGTGTGTGTTTACCGATATTCTGAAACAGTCCAAAAAGTGCTTACATCTACCAGTGACATTTTAAGGACCTGAAACGTCTAATCATTTTTATTACTGAGTGTACTTATAAAACTTCTCTTCCTGCAGATATCTTGCATTTAAATTGTACCTTGTTAGTTGGACTAATTTAAATAATATCTATACAAAATAGTAAATCATAAAACAACCTAGCACTTGCATAACCGCAGACCTATCACAGCAACTTATAGTTTGTTATTCTGTGCTCTGTTCTTTGCCTAATTGCAGATGACTACAATTACTCTGTGTTAGCACTGCAATCACTACCTGATATACTATTCATGCATCAAAAGAATGTCCTAGTCCTCTTACTAACAATGACTTGTTCCCAAGCGTTGCCTGAAATTATTATGACTCATAGGATAAATGTCTTCTCAAAACAATTTATGAATTCTATCTTTTCAAACAACTTAACCTTTAATTTCTTTATTTTACATATAAATTTGGTTACTGTATCAACCTGATCATGCTTGTAAATTAATAAACATTCTGTAATTATTTCCAGAATCTAGTTTATTTATTCATTTATTATGATGAATATGTTTCTAGTTTTCCAGAAAGTTAAAGTAATTTAAGTATTTTAAAACATTTAGATTTTTGATAAACTTAAGTCACATACATAAATTACATACCTTGCTAATTCCAACTGCAGCACAGTATCTGAATCTAAATTAGCAGGACGTTCTTTTTTAATAGGTTGTTTACGTAAGCTATTCAACTCACTACTATCAATCATCTTTAAATGGTCTTTGTTCACATCAAGTGGTCCACTGATAATTCTTTGATCAGCTTCTATTAGATATTTAAAGTAAAATATATGAACATAATGATTAGAGAAAACAACAGAAACATTTAAGTAGTAAGCGTTATCTACACACACAAAAAATACTAGACAATATTTAGTATTATGTGGTCAGTAATGATTGAAATCATTACGAGAAACAAGTTTTATCAGTTGAATGATAAAATGATAACATCAGTACCTTTTAAACAGTGTTAAAATGCATTTCCTCGAAAGATATACATCTAACATATTCAAGAAACGTATACAAACTTAGAAGAAACACACGATTTGCAGATATTTTGTGTCAGAATTCAATTTTAATATGAAGCAGATTAATGTTATCCAGATGCTTTTATCACAAAAACGCTGTTTAAAATTGTGGATTGTTAACACTTTGTTTACTCACAAATGACTTTAGTTCTTGAAAGGGGTTTAGTCGAATTATGTGTACACTACTGAAAGATATTCAGAATTGCTCATTATTAAAGTTGCTTTATTTGAAATGCCGAATAAAACAAACTCACCACAATATGTAACAGAGAAATCCAGCGACTGAAAACTAAATGACTAAAAAACATTTACAGTATGGTAAGTATTTTCTGATTCACTTCTTGAAGAGAAAAATGGTCTTAATGTCTTAACTTTCACAAAATAACTATCTGCTACCTCGACAACATTATTCCATCACACAAACTAGACTTTAATATTCTTAGCTTACAATGAAAGCATCATTCTTTTAGATGAAATTTTCACATTTACTCTTTTAAACATTCAAAATGAAGGGATGTACAGTCAAATTTTTCCTAAAACGCTGGTGAACAATAAATATTTAAGAAAAATAATTGTGTTCAAACAGTCATATGAGACTGGCTAACATTGAAATCATTGATATAACCTTGCTTAAAGTCACTCTACTTCATGACTGCATCAAAAATAAGAGATTTAGCCATATGGTCATTTAATCTGAATGCATTTGTATAAAGTTGGCCAGTCCATTTCTATACAACTAAAACACCCAGACATTGAAGTTTCACTTATTAATTATAGAATAAAAAAATGTTTTGGATGAGTACTTTTCAACTACTCATTTAAGTCATATTGTAATCTCAAGCAATATATCAAATCCATATATTATTATAACAAAGTTAAGAAACGTTTATTTACACTAATATTACCAAGTAGTTTACAAAAGCACAATCATTCTCATTATCATAAATTTTGACAATCTAATTACCTTCTTTGATTTCCTGATATGTTTTCTTTAAATATTCATACAGTTTCGTCTTTTGATATAGGGTATAATCATCACGCCAGTCTGAAATACAACTAGCGTTTCTTGAACCAAATAAAAATAAGAAAAAATTCATTTTCTAAAATACAATGCTTTTATCAAGTATAATTTGAAATGTTTAGCATAATAATTTTGATTTATTCATTAAAAAAAGACTTTATTTGTATTTTTTTAAATAACTAGAAACTAAATTGCACAGTCCGATGTATCTCTACTGAAATTATTCTAGTTGTTACGAGGATGTCAATGATCATTACGGATTCCTCTACATAAGATAGATGAATCTCTAGCTTTTATAAGGGAATATTATGAATAAAGATACATTGGACTCACACATTATAGATACTGATATTGCAGATGATACAGTAAATTTACTAATACAATCTATATTTCATAAACTTGTAAAGTGAATAATCTAGTTTGAAAATTAAAAATAAGATTAATTGCCAAGCAAATGATTACAGTGGTAAATTTTAAGAAGTGCAACGCCTAATAATCTGTCCATAATAATGATAATCCATTTGTATTGGTTGTTTGAATCTTTTCATTGGTGGTTAGGATTGCAACTGATCAGTCTATGGAATATGTGCATCCAGTAGGGATCGCTTCAATATTGTCAGTAAGTCAGAAGAATTTTAAGCAGAGATGAGTGGTGGCTAGCAGTGGAATCCAGAATGTGTATCACTTCGTCCCATATGGGGCTCGTCAGCCGGATGTGTCTGCATTACAGAGTTTATGTTCACTTTGTTACCCGAATTCAGTGCTGATTACCGCAAACATCATCGCATTATCCAGTTAGCTACTGAGTCCGGATATTCACTGGGTTGTGAAATGGAGTAAAAATCATTTGTTTTGGTTGTTTGAATTTCCCGAATGATGTCTAGGACTCAAGTCTCATCCAACTAACAAGTACTAAATAGTACGAAAAGTGCATTCTGTATTTTACTGCTAGCCATCATTCATCTATGCTGATAGTTATAATAATTTCTATTGTATGCCACTGGGAAAAATTGTAAACAAATAACGGGATAAATTCCTTGTCAGTTTTGACGGTCGAAGGACCGTGCTGAAACACATGTAATACACGCTGTGGTTCAACTTCCTTTCAATATTCTACTGTGATCTTTAGCTACTCATTCTAGTTCATAATATAAACTGCACATCTTTTGCCAACATTTTGAATTTAATTGTGGTGTAGTTTTAATTACATGGTTGACTATGCTACTTCAGTATTGTTTTGAAAAACATGCCTATCTCGGTTGAGGTATTGAAGGTCAACTTTTGACTTTAGAACATTATTAACGAACTTATCCACTAATTACCAAATGATTATGCACGATACCATTAGCTGTCAAAAAATCACCAGCGACAACTGATCGAATAAAAGGATAATTGTCTTTGGAAAATCAGTTACGGAAAATTTTACAGAATAATGACAACAGTAAGCAGTAGAGTTAATTCCAACTGACATTCTTACAGTCCTTTGCTTTAAACACGGTATAAGTATGCACTGGTCGACAAGGCTCAACACCAACGGACCAGCCAAAATGGACGAATAAGAACCAAAAAATTGAACTTCAGTATTGATAAATAACCGTCAATAGTCACAAAACTTCAAACTCGTTAACAAAATCAATCCAATTAACCGATGGGGTTTTACGAATTTACATCATTCTTACCATACACTATACATCAATTCAATCACATTAATTTCCATAGGTTCAATGCAAAAATATCGGAATCACGAGTACTCCTATGTTATCATACTAGGAAAATTTTTATCTATTGCAAAATATCCCTTACATTTATGTAAATATACATAGCTATAAAGTATATACTTGACAGTTTGATTTTTCAAGGTCTCTTTCTTGAGGAAATATATGTCCTTCACTCTTTGTTAACATAACTATACTTAATGGATTCAAAGCCATTTTATGCTTCAATTAAATAAAATATATTAGATATGCTTTCGAAAATTTATTTCTGTCATTATGATTGACTTCAAAATAACGTTTTCAAGATGTTTGATAATCTTTGATCGAAAAAAAGAACAGCTCTTGATTTCTATTGCGATAAATTGTTATACATAAAAAATTTTTAAAGATACTGATTGGTTGCTTCTACAAGCAATGGTTTTTTCTACCTTAATCTCATGTTGACAAACAGTTACTCTAAGCATAATAAAAAAAATTAATCAACTGAAAAATCATTATGGACATCTTTTTCCACCTACACTGTACATTTTTATTGTGACAATAACCTACTTCATGCGTTGTATTTGTGATGCCCGCTTTAACATTAACTCTTTACGAGCTTTTCTTTTTTGTTCTCGTTTATAAATTAAACGTATTTTTTCTAAGGTCGGTTGTGGTGGATCTTCCAACAAAAACGCTCTATGTCTACTAGTCTGACTAGGTAGTTTACATAACAACGAACTGAAAAACAAAATTAAAACAAGACAAATGTCAACATAGTTAGAATCGGTGATAATATTAGTATTAAATTCAAAGAATCAAGATCTTATTTAGTACAGATCACGTTTCACGGTACACAAAACGTGGGACAAGAATAGTGAAATAATTAAAAAAGTGTATATAAAATAAAAATTATAGAATGACCAAATCCCAAGATAAATTTAAAGAGTTTTTTCCTATAGAATTTATCGTATTTACAGCCAAATGAACTTTTTTACAACTCATAGTAGTTGGAAACGATAAACTTGTTGTTTGAATAGTGAATTGAGACCGATATATATATATATAATATTAACCAAGTTGTCTGTTTGGACTTGAAAAATGAACATCACCTAGGCCTCCTAAGATACCTTGAATTGAAAATCCATTATCAGCTTCTGAAACCATATTAAAAAATTAAAAGCTATTCAAAGGTAACTACTGAGGGTGACATTTGCAAACGCGAGTGATTGATAAATTTAAATACGTAGTTTATTTGGATTGATTGACTAATGTGTGCAAACCAATATAATATTTTTCGGCACCTAACGTCATGACAACAAAACGCAAAGCACATAATGTTAGGTTTCTTTACCTGATGGCATTACTGCAGCCTAGTCAATAGAATTCAATTGCTGCTTAGGACCAGAAAGACCAGACATTAATTAAAACCTAGCGGTCAATCAATGTAAATATCTCATTTCAACAGAATGTCAGTTGTCATCTAAACAGTTGAGCGGTAACCTTTATACTGTGACATCAGGTAAGGTTGGTTTAAATCCAAGATAGAAACCAGCTCACTTGAGATTGAAGGTACATCTTATCAAAAAGTGTCAACTAGCAAGAGGCTTCTTCAAATGATTTCCTGAATATTACATCCAACCACTTAAAATAATTAGCAGTTTGTAGCACAGTAGAATGGCTTCGGTAGAACTGAGTTCTCAAAGTTGGTTGGTTTATTCATGAACCGTATACTGTCTTTATGGACAATATTAACAATAAAAACCTCAGATAAAATTCAGCTATTATAAACAACAATACGGTCAATAATCACGTCAAATGAAAGGACAACCAAAACAAATGTGCAGACAATGATAGGAAATGGGTCAACAATAACCGAATAAATTTAAAGCTGACAGGATAAACTGTTATGAATGTGCATAAGAATTCAAGTAGCTTACTACATTCAGAAGCTTGTATTAAGCACGTTGTCTAAGAATGCAATAAGAGTTTAAGGAGAAAACCATTCAGCTTAGAAAGCACAGCTTCACTTAAAAAACGCCGTTTTATTCCTTTTTTGACAGAAATTAATTTTCGTCATAAACTAGTTGGTTTATCGAAGATTAAAAAATTGTTTCTGAAATTTATTCATTTATTAAGATCAAACTTCATAGCATTGCAAAACGTTAACCTATTGTTATTCATAGAAACCCCACAGTCATGATTCCAGTTAATAAGACTTTCAGTACTCAAGTCGCACTGTTTTCGTTAGTTCATGGTTGACTTATTATAATAATATACCTAATCACTTATTAAAAAATTAAACTCACTTATCTGACTTGGATGTGTAACGTTTAGACTTTAAATAATCTCTTTGGATCCTTTTGTAAAACTTTGATTTGCTGGAAACCCGTGAGCAGGATGAGCCATTAATTTTGTGTCCATGGTACTGAACCAAATCATCATCTGCATTTATTATACTTCCCAAGACACTTAATAATTTTGACTGGTCAGTAACCTCATCAAATGTTTTTACCTTCTTTGATTCATCTGAATCGTCATTAGTGTTTTCATTTTGTAAAATACCAGAAAATGACGCATCAGCAGAATAGGAACGTTCAAGCCTGGAACAATTCAGATCACTGTGATTTAGATCCATGGAATTATGCATGCCTCTTACAGAGTGAAGCGGTTGTCTATCCTTGAGGTTTACACTATTCAGAGAATTTATTAAATCAGTAAATTCAGTGTTATTATGGTTGATATCGTCCATAACAAGTTGTTTTGTTTTTAAAACGTTGATATTATTGTTGTTTTCCGGCATCTCAGTACTCTTTGTATTATATTCAGATGAACTGGAGCCTAAAAGATAAATCGCAAATCGGCAGAAAAATAACCATGTTAGGATAAACGGAGAGGAAGTATGTGAAATAATATTGCTGTAGCCTATGATTTCAGGTGCTTGAAAACCGAAAAAGAAACATCACTGACGCTAAACAATTAAACTCAGTCCGATAATTACAACGCATAGCCAAGTTTTTCTGAAAAATGTCTAAGTTTTTGCACTTCACTAAAGTTTGCTATGCATATTTACATTGGTGCCATGAAGTGCTTCCCTTGCAAATCTATATATCAATATCTTAAAAAGTTAACCCAAAGACTGTGAGACAGATAGGATTACAGATGTAAAATTTGATAACAGTGTTTGATATAAACAGGAAAATATTATGACTGTTAACTGGCTTGTACATAAGGTTCACTTATTTAAAATGCTATGGATAGAAAATACATCGTAGGAATCTGCGAAAACAAAAAACCATGGCAATATGATATAGGAGCGAATCCAATATAAGGAGCAACTATTAAAACTGAGATATATCATAGAAGTTAAGCATACCACCCTTAACTGTGTTAGTTGAATCAATATTTGTGAAAACGTCAAAAGAAACGACCACCACATAAATAATTGTAAAGTTTTACGGGACGAAGATCAAAAATATGAGACAAAAGTCGTAGTTCAGAAAAACACCAATCAGTTCTATTTTTGAAAATAGAAACAGATCAGTGTAAAAACCGTGATTGCGTTCAATAATGAAATAGACCTAACACGATAAATCTCTTAAACTAACACCAAACACAATGCATCAGATTTTTCCGTTACTCGACTAGTTTTCTACAAAAAGCAACTTACTGTTAATACCATTGACAAAAAATCTGTGACAAAAATTTGTATGAAAGTGATATTCATAATTATATGGTTTTCTCAAGTAAATTGAGACACAGTTGTCAGGTGTTTCTAATAATAACCTTTCTGTCGAGAGGTCTGAAAATCTAACACACGAGTTAAGTCTGTTTCAAAAATATATAGTGCCACAATTTGTCCAATGGACTATTTAAATATTCCTTTTTTAAGGACGATTAGTAGGTTAGATCACCAAACTTTCGTTCCAAACGCACCTTAGGATGACATGAGTGATGGTGTTCATATCATCTGAACGTCTATGTGGATTTATTAAATGATTTTATAACAAAAGCACGTGAATAATTCTGGCAATTCCCGATAAACACTTCCAAGTGTATTGTGATGCATATTGGCCACCAGGGTACAGATACATACACGATGAATAACACTGAGTTACCTATTGTTCAGGCACACAACGACTTAAGCGTCATCGTCAGTCAAGACTTAAAGACTGCTGCACACTGCCGTGCAATAGCCGCCAAAGGTTTTAGGACTTTATGGTCCATACGCAGGGCTTTTAGGCATCTTGACGCTAAAACGTTTTTGACTTTGTATACAGTGTTCGTACGCCCTAAACTTGAGTACTGTATACAAGCAGCTAACCCCTGCCTAAAAAAAGACAGTGAACTCTTGGAAAGGGTTCAGAGAACAGCAACTAGGCTGATTCCCGGAATAGCGAAGCTCCCGTATGGTACTAGACTGACCAAGCTAAACCTATTCCCGCTGTCATATAGAAGAATCAGAGGTGACTTGATTATAGTTTTCAAATTGCTTAATGACAAATTTGCACCTGATATGCCCTCATTTTTCTTGTCTTCCAAAACAGAAAATCTACGAGGACACTCCAAAAAAGTTCACAAGCCCAGAACGAATTACTTGTCAGCTGACTACCGACTTTCCCATCGAATAATCAACGAGTGGAATTCATTACCTCAGCACGTGGTTGAGGCTCTATCCGTCGACTCCTTCAAAAGAAAGTTGGATCGGCTGAGAGACCATCATTGCCAGGACTAACACAGGCCATCAAGCCTCCTGTCCTTTCCAAACTGAAACTGAATAATTCAGGACATCTGTATTCTATTGTTGTTCCTTAAAACTAACGGTCCATATAGAACACCATATATCCTCGAATATTTCATTGCAATATAAAGTTCACCTCATAGTAAATGTGTTTAAAAAAGTCGTATGACGATATCATGTATCCGTATACCTTGCAGCATCAAGTAAGTTTAATATTCGAGAACGAAAGCTTACCTTCGTTAGTTTCTGTATTCATCAAGCCTAAGTAGTTATCAAGCAGAAACTTCAAAATTTGTTTCGTCCCTCTTCTCAATACTTTAGTAGGGGGAAATTCAATTGGATTGTTTCTGTGATGTAGATTAGACAACTTTTTTAACAGACCTAAAAGATTTGTCACAATGTTACTATTTACCAAGTTCAAAAGGAAGCCTTTTGATCTTGTTATTGTCTATAAGTAATGTCTGAAGTTCCTCTAGGTGTTTGATTTCAGGTGGGATACTTGTTAAGCTATTGTCACGCAAATCTAGCCAACGAAGTTGACTGAGAGCCGTCAAGATGTTGGGTGATATAGCTTTAAGACAGTTATTCGAAAAATACAACTTCTAAATATTGTTTTTTTAGCTTTTGTGAATCATTACCAACCTGTAGATTTGGTAGGTCTGAAATTCTATCAGGAATTTCTTTTAGATTACGGTTCTTGAGATCAAGAGAACAAGAACGTGAGATAACTGCGTCCGATATAATTCCAGCAACAAAAGACTCCTCTTCTGTCTCTCCACATTCACACTTTTTATCTGATTGTAAAACCTCTATATCCATTTATTTAGAAAACATAACAGGACGTTTAAGAATCTGCATAATTGGGGACCATAGAGTACAAAATGAGTAGCTGACTTAAACAAAACAACGCTCGTTTTCATCTTCTGTTCTGCTATGATATAATTTGCACACAGTTATCTCCATCGTTTAAAGGTACTAGAATTCGTATGCTTCGAAAAAAGTCTCCAAAACGTGTTCGTGAATATATTTAAAGATCCATATTTATACTTATAATTTGAGAACGGGGAGCAGGAAGACTGCTTTTCGTTTCCTCCTGACCGTCTCTTCGCGTTTAACCTCCTCTTCATTGTCCTGATGAGAGGCTTAGACGCCAATTCTTTTGACAGCAAGTTTTATAGGTTGGTTACTCTACTAGCGGACCTGTATGCCATAAACATTGTGTTGAGAGGATACATTTTCGAAGCTTACAGCATTGCCGGCTGAAGGTAAATCGCATAAAACTGTGAAGAGCCGTTTGCTTGAAACAGATCTATATACTTGGTATCTATATAAATATGAAAACCGACCTATAGTAAATGTTCGGTGCAACCACTTACTCCTGCAAAGGATGTGAGATGATGTGTTTACTGAAGACCAGTGTTTGTCTTTTAAGTAGTCACATAATAGCTTTGCTCTAGAACTGATGCTTATGTGTCGAAAGGTGGTTTAGACCTCTTCTCATAACAACATTTAGACCTAGTTATTTGACCTGACAACCATGAACTTGGTTTGAAAGGACATTTAGCTATTTATTCTTACTTTAACGTCAGATATATAATGAGTCTTGTGTAAGTAACTTTCACATCTTATATAAACCCATGTTCGACTGGTGTTTCGATGAATATTTTGCATACATGCAATACATTCGAAATGAGTTTCTGATATCACGAAGATAACAGAGATTCAGCTACAAAGAATGAACAGTTTTGATTTCGCTCGTTTGCATTAGCGAAGCACATTAGCACAAGCCGATGGTTTGGCCACCGAAGAAATAGTGTGACCAGACACATGATTTGTAAACTGGTTTACTTCCTGAATGTGAATGTCATTGGGAAATAGATCAGTTCGTATGTAGCGATGGATCGTATGCTATTCAAACCTTCAGATGCGCTTTAAGAAAGAGTATTGTCTAAATCCTGTCAAGATATTAAAAGTCGTCTATAAAATACTCACGTTGCAACGTAGGAGATTGCAGGGTTATAAACCTGAAAAAGAGACAGAAAATTTTATGTTTGTTAGTTGTGCAGAAGAATGTTCTGAGGCTAATTTGAACGATTTAACTTGTCATGTGTTTGACAATACACACTGCAATGTATAAACATCAATGTTGTTTCTAGTGCTGCTGGCCACAGCAGCTGGTCCTCGAGAAAAGTATATGCGAGTTACCCATGCGTTTTATCCGGCCCATCGTGATTTGAGTGGTGACCTGTATCAAAAGCACACTGTGTTTCACTTACCGTTTTTTTCAAAATTTGCTGTGTGATTGTTAGCTAACCGATTTAATGATACCTGTTATGGAATTGTCTCTGAAGCCGCCGAGACCCAATGTTCTCCGAATGGTGACTGACTAGCTAATATGCAAAGACTTTGGTGAAAAAACAGGTAGAAGCTACCGGAATGCATTTAAGGGAGAACAAGTATCTTAAGACCTAGAAAACGAAGAACATCCATCCTGAAATCAACGAGGCAACACCTAATACTAGCTGTGCTAATATATTTCTGATACGGAGTACACGAAATTTTTACAGGCATGTTCCATATGGATTTACAGACACTCTCCAGATAGGGCTATAAAATATGTGACAAAATATTCGAACAGATTTATTAACTAGTTAATCAATAGGTTTGCGTGTTAGAACTGAGCTTTGAATTGACGGTTGTTATTATCTGTTCACAGATGTTGCCTCGTACAGATTGTAAACTTGACGAAAGAAAATCTGGTACAATTTTCACAATAGTGGGTTACTATTTTTGTGCTGAAAAACGATAGATAACAAATGGTTAAGAAAAGCGAATTGTTAGCAGTGGAGCAAATCAAGTTTTGTTTGACTGTTAAGTAGAACTGAAACTAATTAGTGAACTCAAAATTAAACTGTCACAAAAGAAACCACAGATTGACTATAACAACTAAATGAAGGTGTGCGGAATTATGACGGTGAAACAGGCGTCAAATGATGAACGAGAGGATGAAGAGCAAAGTGAAATATGTGTCTATTAACTTCGGAAACTAACAGAAAAGTAAGGCGTTTAGTTGCCAAAGTAAATTTACCATCATGGCTAATTTCTATATATTGCTCTTCTTTGTTGTTGATACCGGATACCAACCGTCCAATATGCACATAAGCGTTTGGAATTTCTTGTAATAAATCGACTTGGTAGAATAGCAAAACCAACGGGCGGCAGAAAACATGAGTCTAGGAGCGTCAAACATGGGAGAACAACATTCATATTATCAAGTGGTTGCTTAATCACGAGTCACAAAATACTCGATACAACTGAGTTACTGACATGATTTGCGTGAAATTTGTGGGTATTTAGGCAAAATTAAGACACAACCCACAATGTTTTTGAGCATTTCTTCGATTCTCACTGGCACCTACTGACAAGGAAGATATCATTTGCTGTTTAGTCTCTCTTCAAAGTAGAAACTTTCGTTTGAGCGAATGAAGTTATGGTACACGGATGTAGGTGCAGATGAAGATCATGATGAGGTCAATGAAGCAGGTTTCCACTTCTCCGAAGCCTCTCGAGAAAACCAAAAACTCATAATACTGTCATTGAAAGAACGCTATTTTCATGTGCATATGTGTCACTTTTGGTGGAGAATAATAATATCATCAATAAACCGCATGTAGATAAAAGAAATATAGAATGCGGATATACATCCTATATCATGAATTAGCTTAAAAACGCTTCCTACTAAGCCGCTCCCGCTTAGCGTTTAAATGAGTGATTCACACTGGCAATTTAATATCCCTTCTCAGTGTTACTCGGCTATTCTAAAACACAAACAAATACTATGGTTTTACTAAGGATTTTATATTTGAGTTACAGTGAAAGCCCATTTTTTATGAAAGACAGTCATGATACTGTAACATTGTGAAAAAGGTGCTGAAGAAGGAGCAATGTCAAATGAAAAAAATGACAACATTTTTGGATCGACAGCAGTCACACAGAATTTGGGCGGGATAATAATTCCCTTTGGTTCTTTCTAGAAAATCGAATGCATCTACCTCAATGTACTTTAATCAGCTGCAATAAGTCTTCTACTAAAGAATCCTGCCTAATTTAGCATACAGTTCATTAGCTATTTCACTGACACGGAACATTTTTTGTCGGCAGTTTTAACCACCTGAAACTGCCTCCCAAGGACACCAGGTTCAACTTATAGGAAGAATAGTGTAATCTCAAATGACATTATGTTACATGTGTGTGCATCAGGTCAACTATATTTAGTGGAACATGTTTCTTGAAAACTATGCGAGATTCGCGAAGTTATTTCTGACAACATTGTGAAAATTAGGAGTATTTGAATTAAAGTATAAACTAGAAATCTCAGAAACAATGCAATCTAATCAAGAAGTATTGGATGAACAAGAACGAATGCATTGTATTTGAAATTCAAAATCAAACAGTCATCAAATACATGCAAGTTCATGCAAACAGCAAAAAATGTAGTGGAATTGTATAATAGGTTTACTGTTATTACAATGCAATGATTAGAAGACACTTCGTATAGTTTGCGCCCTTGACAAATGCATCTATTGGGTTTGTATACTAGGCGTAAGAAGAAGCCTAATGGATTGTAGAGATTAGAGAAAGCAAATCGAAAGTTTGGAGACGAATTATTAAGGGCGAAGTTACTGGCCTGTAAGCACCAATGGTGAAGGCATTTATTTCATTCCACTCATCCTTGTGAGGCAAAAACGTTTACTTGTTTCAGGATGTTTATGATTAACGATTAGGCAGGCAATCAGCATTAATTATTTTGTTCCCCTATTATTGGTACTTCTTAGATTAGTTTTTTCTAATTGACACTTGCTCTGCTATCCTGCTAAGATAACCTACAGCACCTAACTGATACGGTTTGACAGTTGTGTGATCAATAGTTTCCACACGGCAGCCAATGACTTTCATTTTTCTTTGGAACAATATGCAGAGGGGAAGCCTTTTGTCTCTTAGATGGATGGATAGTACCCAGCTGTCTCATGTAGTAAACAGATATGGCACAGGTGACTTCGTCCAACACCGTTATTAAAGCTTCCGATATTCTGGAGGGATATAAGTTATGATCACTACCTGGAAACGTTTTTCATATCTTATGAAATATCAACCCAGCTGAGTAATTTTCAACAGTGAAAATTGTAACTTCTGTAACAATTTGATCTTGCCTGTAAACCGGCATGCCTCATGTAACAAACTGTTATTTGAGAATAAATTATTATTATTATGTAGTCTAGTTAGGCTCTTACTATCTTAAGCTCATCTGGTGCTGGTCTCTTGAGTTTAACAAACAGAAGTGCCCTCCCTTCTATAGATTATATTTACTTTACAACCCTGCTTAAGATCCATAGTGAGAACCAATAAATGTTGTGACTTGTAGATCATGCCTGTAAAAAGGGCGTGTACCTGCCCTTGCAGAAGTATATTATTATACAGTTTTGCCCTGTATGGCCTACAATTAGGTTGCTTTTGAAAGGATGGCGGTTTGGTTTCGTTGTGTTTCGAAATTCTGTTAGTATTTCCCGGAATTTCGTAGATGTTGCTGGAGGGGTTTTTCTCAAAATGAACGATGTGATGTGACGTTCGTTGTCTTTTGTGAAACTCGAGGTTTCTTTTGGTGTTTATACCACCCCAAAACGGCGATTTCCAGTATTGCCAGCTCTTAATAGACTTCAGTGAACACCCAGGTAAGTACCCATCTAATTTCCGACTCCAGTATAATTGATTTTTGCTCAAACGGCTCGACATCGTGAATTGTGACTGGTAACGACTTTCGGCCCAGCTCAGTTTTGTTACGAAGAACGATACCAAGAGCCATGTCGGTATCTAACAAAAAGTTGGAGCCTGACTTTCTAACATCGGCCAAACAAATGTTTAAGCACCTCTCATCATTGACCGTGACCTGTGGAGCGGTTACTCATTTACCATATTTTCGGGAGTCTGTTTAGGTCAGGCACATGTTTGACTGCACCTGGGTGGCTGAACAGCAAACTTCCAGCGGTACGAGCAGGACTATTCTGATAGTCTGAATATTT